ACATTCATAGCAATCGCGTTTCATGGCCGGCCGATAGGTATTAAACAAAAGGGTAAAATTTCGGACGTGGGTGAAATACAAGATTAGAGATGTTAGGCAATTATTGCCACACTGGCGGGCCTAGATACGATGAGCATACGACTTGGAGGAAGTTAACAGCGAGTTCGAAACTGTTATTTGCTTAAACATATATCGTGTTGCCCGACGGAGGAACCTGTTCCAACCTGATATGTAGAAATACCCTAAAGGTTACATCTTGTGTTTTTTCACTGGAGAACATACAGAACATGAACTCTTCGACCATTTCCCATTTGTGTAAATCAACCATATTTCATGCCTTGGTCCAAACATTCGTACTATTTTCACATAATTAATGAAATATACTTACTAAAACATATTGGAGTAAAATATAATAATACACATCTTTTTATCTCCTGCATTTTTATTAGATTTGGCTATCCTTACATTTCTTGATTAAAATCTCCATAGAAATGTTAAAATATTTACAGCTAAACTGATAATTATAAATTCTCATTTGTTTTTCCTGCTAGTTTTTCCATTCCTAAATCAAAAAATTACATTTGGTGGTCATGGTACAGGACGTTCTGGTTCATTACGGTACTTGAAAGAAACGAATCCAATTTGCTTTTTCAAGAAAGAAAAGAAAACAAAATCAGCACGCTTCATGTCGCAACATTTTAGTGAAATAGACAATATTTTTATAATTTAGTCCTTTCAAATCAATACAAAAATAATCATGTTAATGTCGTTCTGTTGTTGTGTAGTACATCAAGCAAACAGCCTTTTTGGTGGTTTTACGGCGGTTTTTGCCTTTGATTCGTCGCTGAAGTCATACATTTTCTGGTTTCCTTATTCTTTTTCATATTTGGGTGTAGGCATAGGTATTGGTTTATTATGTGGATTTTTTTAGAAGTTAAACCAAATCATTAAATTAAGCAACCTCACGACGGCTACCTTTTTTCATTTTCACTATATTTATCGTAATTTTTGCTTTACTGTTGTTACAGGATAAGAAATCGAGATTCCTGAAAGTTGATAGAGGATAATTATGTTGTATAGTAAAATTTTGTTTTATTTTAAATTTATCTTCTTTTGAAATGAAAATCCAATTACATCTAATTTTTTTCTCATTTCAGGTGTTTCAAAGCATCCTTGGCATACTGAGCTATGTAAGATACATGATTGAACCCTATATTATCCGACAACTTTACCATTAGAAGTTGTTAAAGAACAAAATTGTACTAAAACATTTCCTTATTTGAAGAAACGTAGTTGATCCTGTAAAATTTTGTTTCGTTCAAAATTTCAGAAGACGAATCTTCTATTGTTGTTTTGGGCAATATGTCCAATGTTTACACGACCTAACATAATATTGTGTTTATTCGAACCATACAGTACCCTGATGTTTGCTAGGAAGATCGCAAATGTGCCAGTCGTATTGTGAAACGAAGCATCTCCTTTTCCCCAAACATGTTCCCAAATTATTTAATTTACCCTGGATCAAACTAGTTTTTTTCCCTTTCGATTTTCGACAGTTGGTTACGTCTTATATTCCGAGAACACAGGAAATCCTACTGGATTGGGCAATGATAAGATATTGCAAAACCAGTTTGCAGGACGGTGACATTTTGCCGTCTGCCCCTCAAAAATGAACTGGAACAGTTATTTTCTTGGTCGTGAGGATATTTGGGCGAATTGAAGGGCAGAGCTTTTTGAATAATAGCTCCCCTGGTCCACTTACTATTTCATAACCACTCTTCTTAACGCCCCATTGCTATTGATAGTCAATGTCAATTGTGATCTAAGAAAAACAATACAAAAAAAAACTCCACCCTTCAAAATCAGTGCCTTACTTGGACGCATGATTTTTAAGATCATCTTTTTGTTTCACTTTGATGTTTGCTAGAATTTATTAATCCCTTCATACTGATGAATAACTGCACATTTTAAATGGCAGAATAATTTTTTTTACGTAAGAAAGAAAATGTATTGAATTTATGTTTGTTTTTCGTGAAAGTGTAATTATTAATAATTATTGCTTACCGGTGACCAACTGTTTAGGGCGTCCGAATCGAATTTGAAGGGGTTCGAATCGTGGCTTAATTCTTGAAATATATGTTTGTGATTAATTTAGAAACAATATTATAAACTGGTTCTGACCTATTTCCGCGAACCCAACGGGAACGTTGAACGTTCGCCTTTCCGTATGACAGAATTTACTTTACTTACGTTTATCACTTATCTGTCCTTAAATAATTTAGAATATTTATTATTGTACAGGTATATAAACTGCTCAAAAATGAATGAAGATATTTGTAATTTATTCTTATTCTATTAATTTTAATTAAATTAACCGATATATCTTGTTAGTTGAATTTAAAAAAAATTGTTTATATCGGAGTTACTTAAGACTAGTAAAGATTAAGATTACTCATTTTTTAAACAAACACCTTTTCGTGTCTTTTCTCCATTTTAATCCTGTTGTATTCTCTTTAACCATGGAAAGACATCACCTTAAACCAGAAGTTTACAATTTACACAATATTATTGTGAGAAGAAACATGGAGGTCACTGGCAAGTGGAATCACAAAGGTTGACGTTTCTCATAGCGTGGTCACCTGGTCTTTAGACCGATTCCGAGAGACTGTAAGTGTCAATAGGAGGCCTGGTAGTGGATCTCATTGCTTTGAAGCTAAGGGAGGACAGAAATATTGTCACTGCTGCAAAACGGAAAGCTTTCTATAGTGCCGCCTGATCTCAAATGAAGTACAAGATTTTTTGGAAGGTTTATAACTTTTTCAACACGAACGATTACGAATTAATGTAATCGTTTGTGGGAAGTTGGCCTCACTTTGTATGCCGCTTTGAGACGACCTGCAGCAACAGCCCACACCCAGGAGAATAAGGTTAGAAGCTTAGAAGAGTACATCAATTGGAATGCTGTTATGTTTACTGATGAGTGGCATTTCTGTCTGTATAGTGATGGCAGACGCCGAAGGTCTATCGAGAACAGGGGTGCGTACAAAGTCCGAGTTCGTGCTCCCTTCAGTGCAGTTTGGAGGAGGCGGTGTAATTGTCTGGGCTGGGATTTACACTGAATGACGAAATGGACTACATATTGTTGAGGACAACCTCACTACAGTCCGTTGTGTCCAAGAAATTATCGAGGAATCATACCTCAAACCAGGGATCTCATTGGCGAAAATTTTCGATTTCTGGATGACAATGCCAGACTTAATAGAGCCAGAGTTGTTCATCAAAATATAGAAAACTTGGTAATTTCCCATCTGTCCCTTCCCCCATTGCCTCCAGACTTTAGTCCCATCGAGCACATGTGGGAAGAGTTTCAGAGAAGTCTTTTCGATCACCATCAGCAGCCAGTTGACCTGCAACAACTGAGTGCAACTTTGGAACATTTATGGAGTGAAATTTCTTGGTGACAACTAATTAACAGCGGGCCTAACAGGTGTACAAAGGTTTTACCTAACAGAGAACATTATACACGGTATTAATTGTTTAAAAATATTGTTGTGTCCAATAAACAAAATTATAGACTCAAAACATTTTATTTTGTTATGTTTCAAAAATCCTTAATTAAATTTTCCTTCCGTAAAAAACATAATAATTTCTACTAAATTTTAATGCAATGTATAATAAAAATAAAATAGAAATGCTAGAGAAAGTGAAAACTACAAAATTGGCAATACCCTTATTCATTTTTGAGCAGTTTATATTGTATTAATTGCATTATTCAGATTTTATTTCTGTTAATCTGTGCAATATTATTTCTATATTTAATTTCATTGTACGTATTTAAAACGGTAGGTTTAATAAAAATTTAAATGTCTATTTTGAATATTGTTCATATTTGACACATTTCAATTTAGCAATTAAAATTTTATAATCCTGATGAAGGAGAAACATATATTTTTCCTAAATTCAACCAAGAAAGTGTTTCTTTGTTAAATAGGTCCTATCTCTGATAGTTTGTAATATATAATTATGATGTTTAATGTTGATCACTAATTATATCCGACATAATTAGCAACTGATATAAGAAGATGATGGATTGTTTTAATTAAGAGATGATAGAGCTGAATCTGGAAGAGAGTGAATTAGTCATTAAGTAAATAAACAAGCTGAGTGATGAATTGACTTATTGTGTGTAATCAGAGGAAGCGAATTATTCAAACAGTTCGAAAATAATTGTATTTTTTGTGTCGGACAATTGTAAGTGAAGTCCATGACGCATGGAATTATTGAGCGCAATGAGCGAAGATTTGACAGAGTGAACAAAGCCAGACAAATATTTGAATAATGTGTTAAACGCGAGGATCAATGAAGGTAAATGATATGACATAAGTGATTAATTAAATACAAAGACAAATCGATATATAAAATGGGAATGAGAGAGGGTGAGAGAGGTGGTGTGTTTAAGAATGTGAGAAACAGACAGATAGACACATATGCAGTCACGCACTGAATGAAGCAAATCAAGTGTGTGTGTGTGTGTGTGTGTGTGTGAGAGAGAGAGAGAGAGAGAGAGAGAGAGAGAGAGAGAGAGAGAGAAAGAGAGAGAAGGGAGAGATGGATAAATTATGAGAGGGCGAGTGAAAGTGATAGAAAGAGAGTCAGTAAGAAGAAGCTAAATAGAATAAGAGGACAAAAGGGAGAAACAGAGAAAGTGAGAGGTAGGCAGGATGAGATCGAGAGAGTGAGAGGAGAGACAGAGAGGGAGAGGGGAAAGTGAGAGGAGGGGGACTAACAGAAACTCAGTTATGTAGTCAGACACACAATGAGACTGAGATAGTTGTGGCCTTCCTGTGTGAGGGAAAGAAGGGGAAACAAATATCTAAAGATAGTAAAAAAAAGTGTAAGGAGAGCGAAATGTAAACAAATCAATAAATTTATGTACATAGTGAAAGTGGGTGAGAAGATGGACAGATGGGTAAAAATGAAGATAGTTAGTTAACAAAGGATTGTTTTGTGACATTTTATTGATATCAAGCCTTTAAAATAAAAACAACTTCTCAAGGAGTAATTTTTTCATTACTGAAAAACAGGTTTCTTCAAGGGAGGAAACTGCTGCCATGGGTCGTAGTTCTTCGGTTGTCCACACAGATATTTTTGCCTCTTGGTATGCCTTAATAGAGAGGTCCAAGTGAGGTAAGGACCTTCATTCATCAATCCACTGTCAATCAGTGAGCCAGAACGATGCTTAATAACCTAGGACCGTTTCATGTGGGCCTGTAAAAAATAACATGTTCGAAATTAATGATTGGGTCACCCTCTCTTAATTCTATGTATAGACAATTTGAATGGCAAGGGAAAAGCTGGCCCTTTGGAATGGCGTTCTGCCTTAATTGCCAAAACGCGAAAACCAATTTGTAAACGAGTCGCATCCCATAATTGGAAACGCTGCTAAGAAGTCAGAAATGTAAAGTAAATTGTCACACAATTATCATAGAGATCAAGGAAAACATAATAAGATAAAAATCAAATTTTTTCATTAAAATGCGAAAGTAGGAGGAAATTATTCCACTATTCAACTCTCGTTTGGAATAGTTTTGCAGTGTTGTTATTTGGAAAAATTATAGCAATTATTTAAATTATGCTCGGTTCGTCTAACGAAGATTTCACACTATTACACCTGCAAGTTATGCAATAATCTGATCATAACAAGATTTCCAAGCTCATTTCCCCAGCCAATTTAATTCTATAAGTATAATTTATAATTTCCCACGATTTTCCTGTTTCAGATTACCAACGTCATAGGCAGGATCCTATTAAAATGAATACGTTTTCCAGGGAATAGGACAAAAATTTACAAAACCTAACTTTCTCATGAAAAATCTAAAAGTCTTGTCTTATGTCAGAAAGTTACTTTTATTTTTTTTATTTTTTATTTTTAGCGCGGGCAAACTACATTGGTCGTTGCCAGCCCTCTCTTCCTTAGCTTTACATTACTTTTCTCATTTTTCTCGCCAATTAATCCTACTAATTTCTTTGTTTTTTGTTTCTCCAGCCGTTTCGATATTTTATGATACTATGGTAACCAACTCTCACTTTTCTTTCTCCTATTGCTAGCCTCTCAGGAACCGCAGGGCCTCGTCAATTGTGGACAAAATAAGACAAATTATGAACACAGAAACGTGATAGTCTGGTTAGCATTCACTCTACCCCATAGTACTAGGTATTCCTACGGGTAATTGGGGATAAGCTATCTTTCTCGGTAATCAACAACACTCACACACTCATTTACATTACCTCTGATTATTCGATATTCTTTGGGGTGTTTGTAGGATAAGCCCTCTATAAACGCAAATAAATACATTCGTTTCTATAAATAACACATATCATTTACATGAAGACACAAAGATCCTATATACAATTTAAAATATTTATGCTTGCTGCCGTGCCTCAAGGCCGGGCATCGATTGACTTAGTTCTTTGCAGTCTGTTATTATGATCTCTCGTGATAAGCTCTTCACACAATAGACACCTACGTGGTCTCACCACCATTAGAAGGTGTCCTTGTTAATCTTGGTTTGACCTATGCGCACCCTAGTAAGTATGACTTTTCCCTTCTAGACCCAGCCTTCGCAGGCCAGGAACCAATGGTTTTTTTGCATGTGTATAAGTTAGATGCGTTTCTTTCGATCTAGCGGATTTTCTATTAGTGTTTTATATCATTAGCATTTAGTAAATCCGCTGGACGTATAGAGTGGGTGGGGTCGTGTTGCCTCTCCTTGGCTAATTTCGCTGCATATCTGCTTGTTCGTTCTCGGTTATACCAATGTTCCCGGGAACCCATGCCAGGACTACATTTTTCCCACTGACATCGATCCCATAAGCTATCCATATATTTTTCTGATTAATGGGTCTGCAGATGCTCTTCTACTGAGTTCTTGTAACCCGCTTAAGAAGTTATATATAGTTATGTTATGAATTGATTTTCTCGTTTCTGTGTTTGTGTTCAATGTTTGTGTTTGCATCAATTTAACCTGAAAGTTTATTTTATGGTATAATTATTGTTAGATAACCTAGAAATAGATGATTTGGTACCAAATAACATCAATTTTAATTGAAGTTGGAAAATCACTTAAACTTAGAAAAACTAGTCTTATGTTGATGTACATTTGTAAGCATTGCTTTTTAATTTAAACACACTAAAAAGTCTAAGTTATAAACGTGTAACATGAGGATAGTTTTTAATCTTTTTGGTCTAATGTCCAAATTGTAAACTGCATGGATAATACAAATTAACCTTACTTAAAATGAACTATGGACCATGTGTTGTATTTGACAGATGCTGATGTATTTGAACTGCCGATTTTAGAATTTAATGTTTGTTTACCGAATTGTTTTAATCTGGGAATTCTAATGCTCTAACGCCTGGAAAATGGGAGAACAGCGGTAAATTGCGGCTTTTATAATGTACTCTTGACTTTTGTGCTCGTTGTTGAAGATTTCCGTTACGTTTTGTAACATTTTGACTAGTTTTGTTTTGTAAACTAACCCTACCATTTGATTAAGTTTATGTTATACATTCATAATACATGAAAACCTTTCAAACTGTAATAAAAAGGAAGGTATTCAGTAGTGATATGTACGCACATACGTAAAAGAACTAGGCATTTTGATGACGTACTTCGACAGTACTTTAATTTAAAATCTTAAATTAAAATACAAAATTACTTAAAATAAATCTTAAATAATTTTCCATAGGAAATAATGAACAAACAACATAATACTACAGGTTTATTTTGTTGGACCGAAAGTGAGTGAAATCATCATGCATACAAATTAAAACCATTAACGATGCGTGAGTTTTAATTAGCCCATTAAAAAGGGAAAACCTTCACCTTGTCCGAGTAAAAGAAAGGAAGTTGTTAGTTTGAAAACCCCGGCGTTACTTATATACTTCCGGAGAATCTCATTGCACGTACTACCGTCGAAAAGTCTTCATGAAATGTTTTCTCTTTCTCTCTCCTTAATTGCTTATCATAAATCCATAATGGTTTCTGTAAGAAAGTGTTTGCCAAAGCGTATTTCATTCTATCCCTTTCTTCCTCTCCCAATCCATTTATGTCGTCATCTCTCTATCTCTTTCTCATCGATTCTTCTTCTCCCTGTATTCATCTCCCTTTTCTTTTATTTTAACTACTTATTACTCTCCCTCTTCCCTTCATACTATATTTCACTTTGTAGTTAACTCTCACTAATGCTCTGACTCTATCCCTTATTCTGTTCAGGCTCCATCATCCTTTTTTTCTCTCTTGATGGCTCATTAACTCTAAATCTGACTATTTCACTCTATCTATCTGTCTATCAATCTATCTCGCTCTATCTACCTCTCTGTATCTTTCTCTTTCTCTCTCTTTCATCATCTCTTTCGTTTTCTGCTCCATCTAACTCTCCTTACTTCTATTATCTCTGTCTATGGATGTACACTTTTCGTCTCACCTACTTCCCAGATTTCTCTCGCACCAACTCTCATTTTCCTTTACATTCTTTCTATCACTCTGTATCTGACACTTACTCATTTAGTCCTCTCTCTCTCTCTCTCTCTCTCTCTCTCTCTCTCTCTCTCTCTCTCTCTCTCTCATACACACGCGCGCGCGCGCGCACACACACACACACTTTCTCTCTCCTTTCTTGATCTCTTTTTACTTCTGATAAAGAAAATTCGGTTTTTCGCTGAATATTGAAAAGCAAGTGTAAGTAGTGGACAAGATTTGGTAGAAAGAATGCAAGGAATAAGAAAATAGAAATAGGTGAAGGGGAGAGAGAGAGAGAGAGAGAGAGAGAGAAAGAGAGAGAGAGAGAGAGAGAGAGAGAGAGAGAGAGAGAGAATGGGTGAGGGGTGGGGAGAGAGGGAGAGTCGAATAAGTAAACAGAAATAGGTGGATCGTTTAACTATGAGGTCAATAGGTAACTAAATTAGTTCATAGAGCTGCTCGGTGGAACTAGTGTGTGAATTGAGATAGTACGGGAGTTTAGTGAGTACATGGAGATGGGATGTCGGTATTAAATTGAAAAAAGTGTGTCTTAATTTTACGACTATCGAAAGTTTGTTTTTCCCAAATTCTTAGCAAAAGTAAAAACATCTAACTATAACTAAAATTATCTGTATTGTCCAAATTTATATATTTTATATATAATATCGATTAATTTTTATTTGGTCAAATATATATTTTTCAAGCCTAAAAGAGAAACTGAAACTTCTTTTTCGACTAGAAATATTTATCTTGAAGATGTATAAGGCCCATTAATTTCTTCAGTGCACGTATCGAACGCACCCGGCCTCGTTTAAAATTTCATAGACGGCAAAGCAGAACGGAGAAATAGGAAGTAGGCAGGAGTTTCAAAATTGCATGCAAATGGCCCATTGGCGCTCTTTATCGGCCCGAGGCGGCAAGTTTTGTTTTGCACCGTTTATGAATACAAATTCGGCCAGTGGCAAGGGAAAGTATCATGCGTTTGCGATAACATCAACGCCAACATACTTTACCAATCAGTACTTTACGCCACTTCACCGCGTAACTGACCGCCGTAAGATTGAGTAACACGTAAATTGTAAAAGCTGCCAACGAAACGATGCAAATTCTTCATCAAGTTGTTGTTTTCCTCCGATTTTAATTCATCGGAAGAGAAACTCAATTTCGTCGAAAGAGATTCCTCATGAATCGGCCACTTAATTAGTCCGTTAGTTGTTTTGACCAAAACGGAAATTTCCTTTATAGCTAATACTACAGGAGACATTCTTAAAAACGAAAAGTATTATGCAGATTAAATGAAGATTATTAAAATTTTATTGATAGGACTTCTAGGAAAAGAAAGCTGTATAAATTGAAAACTGATTTATGTAGTCCGGTTGATAATTCCCTTTAGCAAGAATAATGAAGAAGTAATATTTACTGTAATCAAATTGTATGCATACACCTTAAATAATTAATGACAAGCCTTATAAAATTTTATTCACAGACACATTTAATAAGTGTATAAAATTAGAGATTACTTAATAAATACACTTCGAAATCTCGATAACTACACTTTTGACTTGTTTTCGATGTATAAAATAAAAGTATTTATAATCTTCATTGTCGTTTATTTGGTTGACCATAACATTTTAAGAAGATTTCATACGGCAGAACTACATATATTTTTTAAATTAAATCTTCAGCGGGATCGAATAAATGATCAATTCAATTATCTCGCTTATAAAAATTTTAGATTGATCGGTC